GTCTTCCCTTCCACGTTATTGTAAAGTATCCACTTTTCATGGCCCATCATGATTTGTTTTAAAAATGGAACGTTTTTGCTGTTTTAGTAAACAATTGCATGAAGAAGTAACTGTCAAGGGGTTTTTTTGCTTAACTTATGTGGAACCCAAACATCAAAGTGATTAACATAACCAAGCTGGTGCAAATGATTTTCAACACTTGAGTTGGATATTTTGAGTATGTTGGCTATCTCCCATGTGGTATAATGTTGATTGTTCTCAATTAATGTCTCAATTTGACCACTGTCAACTTCAACTGGTCTACCTGACCATGGAGCCATTGCCCAGTGAGAAATTTCCAGCAGAAAACTTTGCAAACCACTTTTGACATGTTCAATCTGTCACAGCACCTTCTCCATACACTGCATGAATTGTTTTGTGTTTGTTGTGTTTTTGTTTTTGAAATAATAAAGCATAATATGCTGAAAATGTTGCTTTTCTTCCATCTTCAATATTAAAATGGCTACAAAAAAATTCACCAATTTTGATTTTTTTTTTTTTTTGAAGGCACACGGATATGAGAGCTGTCACAATGCTAACAAAATTGTTTTGAATGATGTGAAAGACAACTAAGCACTACTACATTCATCTTATGGAAGAAACCAAACTCTTTGGCCAACCCAGTATTTCCTGACCCATGTAGACATACAGGGCTTGCTTTTTATTCTCTACCCTGTTTTGTGCTCTTCCGTAGGGAGAGGCTGGGCCAGCTCTGGGGCCAACTGGCCTTAAGTCCCAGGCATGCTGGACCTTGGGTGAGGGGAATGAAGGGTGTCCCAGGGGAGGGACCTGTGGTCTCAGAAGGCCCAGGAAAATATAATACTGTGTTGTATTATACAGTATTATTATATATACATATATATACACACAATACTGTATTCTACATTTGAAAGTTTGACAGTAGAGCTTAAAAGTTCTCATCACAAGACAAACATTTTGTGACCTATGTGTGGTGATGGATGTTAACTAGAACAATGTAAAAGTGTCCAGTCATTATTCAGATGTACACCTGAAACTAGTATCATCGTCAATTATATCTCAAAAATAGAAGGTGGCCCCAGTCCTAGTGGGGAAATCTCCTCACGACTGCTCCTCTCCTGGACTGTGAGGGCGGGGCAGCACAGGTCCCCCTGCAAACCTCCTTGGGATGGCGGCTCCACAGTGCTCAGTGGCAGAGTCAGGCAAGCAGGTGACATGGGCCAAGGTCAAAGGCAGGAGGGGAGTTGGCACATGCAGGTGCCCCAGGAAAGGAAAGAGGGAAGAGGAGAGCAACAGAAGGGAAAGTACTAGAGAACTGAGGCTGTTGGGGCTTTCCCTGTAAGCCTCTGGATAGCCATGGGGAGGGTAGGCCGCCTCTGACTGGCACTCCTGAGGGGATGGTTGGTCCTTGTCCACTGGCTGGGCCAGGGGCAGTGGACCACGGACCACGGGCACCTGGTAGCAGACCTTGTGCAGGTCTACAAGCAGCCATCAGCTTTTTCACCTGCAACCCGTGCGCCCAGTTAAGCACTTGTGGGGATATGGGTGACATAAAGGGTTGTCTGCGGGCCACTGTAGGGACTGTGCAGTAGCCATAAAAAAGGGTATGTTGTGCCAGCAACTGAGGACATGATGACTTAACCCTTATTTCTTGAGGTCCAAACAGAATATCTTCTGCATGTGTCCTAATGGCTAAAGTTGGGAGCCCTGCCTTTAGGAAGTCATAGAGCATCTCAGTTCATGTCCGAGAGGAGATGCCATTCGGGATTTGAAACTGGTGCTCCAGGTTCTGGGACACTCTCTCCTGCTGCCCCATCATCACATACAAAGTGTCTGCCCCCAGCAGCATCAGCAACCCACTAATATAGGCTACAGCGTGGATGAACCTTGCAAACACTATGCTCAATAAAAGCAGCTCATCACAGGGCACTTATTGTGTGCTTCCACTTACATGAATGTCCAAAATAGGCAAGTCCACAGAGACAGAAATAGGCTAAATGGTTGTGCAGGGCTGGGGGACAGGGGAAAAACGAAGTGACTGCTAATGGATACAGGGTTTCCTTCTGGGGGAATGAAAATGTTCTAAAATTACAGTGGTACAGTGGCTGGCATTATGAATATACTAAAAACCAATAAATTGTACATTTTAAAGTTATTAAAATGTTGACTTTTATGTTAAATGACTATCTCAAAAAAATAAATCTACCTGCAAAATAAAAGTGTATGTTCTTAGGCCCCTCCCCAGACCAAGAGAAAGTCTGGGGGAGAGGAGCAACCTGTTTTAACAAGTCTTCTAGGTAATTCTGACACTATCAAGTCCAAGAACCATTAAACTGACCCTATCTCCCAAGATCCCAAACCCCTGTGGGCCACCATCTTCTTCCCAGGTGAGGCATCCCTATGCATAGCCCCTCTCCCGTTTTGCCTGAATCATGGCAGGCAAGTGGAAGAGGGGATATGCGTCGGAATCACCACCTCCTCCAGGAAGCCCCCTCCAGCTCCCAAACAGCCAAGTGCACCCAGCTACTGAGAGCCCTGCTTTCCCAGGGAGGATACCCACATGTCCACATGATACAGTGAGAGCCGCAGGGGTTGTTCCCCAAGGCTAGGCTCTGCTCTGAATCCTATGAGCTCCACGAAGGCCGCAGGGCCAGCAGCTTCTCCAGCCCTATCCCCCACAGACTGTAGCCCTGGGCCTGGCTGCCCAGTGTGTGGCCAGCTGGAGGGCCTCTTCTCAGGAACAGCCTGGGCCTCTATGCAAGGTTAGGAGATCCCACAACCTAAACTAGGTGCTGATTACCATGTTCTTCTCCACTGGCCAGAAGCAAGGTGTGGGTGGGAGAGTCCCCAGGTACACAGGAACTGAGGTGGATCTAAGGGGCCTAGAGTCTACCATAACCTTGGGTCCCTGACGGATCTGTACATGTTGGCTCTGCCCACTCATCTCTTCTCAAGGACAGCAATGGCATCCATGGCTTCTTTAAACAGGTATTTCCCACATTTTAAAAATTTTAGAGAGGGCTCAGGGTGGGGTGGGTCCCCTCTAGGCCCAAGCTGCTTCATTGTCTATGGGTGACCTCCTCTTGGCAACCTCTGTGCCATGTATTGGCCCCCAGCTTCCATCTGGGAACTCCCCTCTGCTGGGATCCAAGAGGGGGAGGAGGGTTGTGTCATCTTCAGAGCAGCCCGTGCCATGTTCTGCATTACCCTCACCAGCCTGGCCTCCTCTGTGCCCACCCAGAGTATAGGACCACTGTCTGTTGCTCTACCAGCACCCAGGAGCTTGAGACGGGCACTTAGAACCCATGAGGCTCAAGGGTCTGGAGTGCACCAGGGGCAGGTGGGTGGGTACCTTCAGCACTAGGGCTGGGAGAGCTGGGCAACAGTCTGGATCCCATCCTCCCAGCACAAGGGCTCAGACCACCTGCCCCTGGATCAACTGGCAGAGGCCAGGCTTGCAGGGAGCAGATGCAAGGGCCCTCTAAGCCCTTCCAGGGCTGCCTTGACCTCAGCCCCACCTGCTTTCTGGCTGGGATCCCAGGCCTATTCCTAAATTCAGTGACATCCCATTGCCTTTTCAAAATCATCATGCCTCCATGCACACTACATGAAATACACTTAATGCCACTCAATTGTGCTTACAAACAGTTAACATAGTGAATTTTACATGTATTTTACCATAATAAAAAGAAACCCCACCCCTCCAGGGGATGGAGATGGGAAGTACTTCTACAGCCTGGTATCCTGGCTGCATACCCCACACCCACCCGCCCACCCACGCTGCCCGAGGTGGGGTGTCTTCTGCCAGCTTCAGTCCAGTCCTGTCACAGGTCAGGCTGCACAGAAGTCAGGAACCCATGACCCCAGCTCTCATTCCATTTGCCTCTCACCTCCTATCCCAGGACCCCCCTTAACCCACCCAGGGCTAGCCACCAATTTGTGTCCACTTCCTAAACTCAAAGAGGGCAGCATGCCTCTACCTAGGTAGCGTGGTGTCCACACCAAGCATAGAGTTTCCAGTGATGCTGCTTTTGTTCTGGTCCAGCCTAAGCTATAGGCAAGGGTAGTGCCCCTTGGGTAGAAGGGCACCCTCCTGACATTGCACTCCTTTCCCAGCCAGAGAAAAGCTATGTCCCATGCTAGCAGAGCAGTTCACCTATCCACACATCCTCTAAGAAGGGGACAAACTACGGCAGGGGGGAGCCCAGAGCAGGACCACCAGCCACATTACGGTGCTGGCAGCCATAAGATCCAGACCCAGTGACCACTAAGCCAACCAGTCTTTGCACAGAAGGGGTGTGGAGGACTCTTTTCACAACATGACCAGCAGAAGCTCCTTCCAAATATAAACCCCAAAACCTCCCTGAAGGGAAAAAGGGAAAGAGCTCCCAGTTATCCTTCCAGAAGGGCTCACTGTGGTCTCACAATACAAAGAGCTGAGAAACAGTGGGTAACACCACTGGCCCTCCTCAAGCATTACTCAAATCACAACCTCATCCCCATTCTCTGAGGACCTTGTTGCTATCATGTGGGTACTGCCCAAGGGTCTTTCTTTGCCCTAAGTTACTCTAAAAGTGGAAACTGTAAGCAGGTCCCCTGAGCTAGTGCCACGTTGAAGCCATGCTAACAGCAGATCAGACAGGTCTACTAAATTCCTAAAGAAATGTGTGCAGATGGGGTACCGCCCTCCTCCCCAGTGGAGCTTGTGGTCTGTACTGAGGGGTGGAACAAGGCTGCTTAGACACTAAAAAAGCCAATCAGTACACTGCTGGGCACACCTAGCTCCAGTCATTAGGGAAAGGGGAGGTGGGGGGTGTTAGATGCTTAAAGTCAAAGGGGAGTCCAACAGTTAAGTCGCAGTATCTGAAGGTGAGCAGAGCTCACTGAGACAGCACCCACTGTGTTACCACCACTTGTAGAAGGCAGAGGTGAGGGGTCTAGGACATACACGGACAGCAGAGACTCCACAGCAGGCTGGGAGGCAGTCTTCAGGTTTATTTATTCCTACTAAACATAACCCAAGAACACAGGAGCAATTCTGTACATCTCTAGAAACTCACAGCTAGCTCCAAAACAATAGAAATTTTAAACTATAAAAGATGAGTTGTATTCAGCAAATATAAAGGGTAACTTCAAGCTGTGTTGAACATTTATCAGACTATTTACAGTGCCTGGGCATGGACTCAGATCTCGCCAGCCTCCTTCTCCTCCGATGTCTTTCCGTTGGAGCTCTCGAGCCTCCAGTCGGTGGCCCGGCGCTCGCTCCGCCCTCGCTCCCAGGACTCCTCCCTTGATGCCCGCTCTCTGGAGAACCTGGGAAAAGGGAACCAGAGGCTCAGCAGAAACTGTTGTCTCCCTTTTGAATGTCTCCTTGTGTGCCAACAACTTGGACCTTCAACACCAGGTCAAGGAAGGCCAAGACCAACCATACCTGGGAGGGCTCCCAGGCAGGCCCGAGGACAGCCAGGCCTGCCATATCGTGCCTAACCCACCACCACTAAAAAGTGACATTTACAAAGATTTCTAGTAAGAGCTATAACATAAATGAAGCAAAAGAAAATACAACAAAAGTTCACACCTGACGTATGATCCATCACGTAAAAACACAACGAAAAGAAGTGCTAAAAGTGGTTGTAAGTGGTGCTTTTTTCCCCTTAGAAAAACCACTACAGAGGAAAATAGGGTCAGGACATAAATCTCAGGGGCTCTGTGTATGCAAGTGACAGTGAGCAGGAAGCCCCGAGTGCAGCAGGCCACGAGAGGGGGCTGTCCCCACATGTAACCACCTCCACAGTGTCTCAACTGTCCCATCCCTGAATCCATCTGCTGCTCTTAGCTAAAGACTCCCAGTGCTCTGGGCCCCATTCCTGACTCCTCAAGGCCCCAAAAGTCAGTCCCACAGATGCCCAGCCAGTCTCCTGGGCAACAGGTATGGCCAACAGGCCCAGGCTCTGAAAACAGACCCCACCAGACCCTGGGAACACAAAGAGAAGGGGCTCACTCCTGGTTGCAGCTACTGAAGAAGTCAGAGTAGTTACTTGTATTTCGCACTCCGGTCCCTGGAAGCCCGGCGGTGGCCCCGGCTATGGCTCCGGGAACGACTGCGGTGGCGCCGGTGTCTGTCTCGGGACCAGGACCGGGAAGACTTCCGTCGTTCTCTGGAGGTAGATCTTGACCGCCTCCGACGCCGGTCCCGGGAACGTGACCTGCAGTGGATGACCAGAGGCTCTGAAGGCTCTGGTGACCCCACCCTAAAGACCCTCCTCTCTCTGCATGTTCTGCTTGATGCTTACTGGTATCTCCCCTTTCTTCCCACCAGTTAAGAACTTGGTCTGCTCAGTTAATCATTGGTCAGAAAGAATTATGGCCAGACTCTTCCCATTAGTGCTTCCCAGAAACATTTTTCCAGGAAACTCCTGGCCACCAGAAGACCTCACCAGAGCCTCCTAAGCTCTCCTCTCATTGACAGGAGGTCTTTCTGCTGCACTAAGCCCCAATCGACCCAACAGATGTGGCTCGACTCTCACTTACATCTATGCCCTTCACAAGCCAGCTCTACCCACTAGGTAATAATTGCGAAGTTATAAAGATTAAGTATTAAGAAAAATCCATGTGGAAAAGAACGTTAGACTTGAGAACTATAAATGGACCTAGAAACCTACCTCCTGCGATCTCTGGTTCTTGATCCGGACCTAAAATGGAAGAAAAAATGAATACTTTCTCCAAAACATCCCCATCCCTCACATCTAAGGGGAGGTGTCCCAAATCCATGAGGTGAAGGAGGGCAGCCTTCCCACAGAAACCTGTTGTCCTCTAGCCGTTCACTCATTCTCAGCCTGCAGCACCAAGTGGCAATGCTCACAGAATGTGGCCTACCCCCAATCCTCAGTCCCTAGCTGCAAAAGGACAGTACCAGCACCCTGAGTTCAGCCACTGGCTCTGAAAAGTCTTTACAGTGGACAATAACACAGCTATGCAAAGAGCCACCTAACAGAAAAGTTAAACAAAAACCTCAAGTTTTAAACATAGGCTCATTGCCATGTGAGGGTCACATGAGCTCCTTGGGAAATAGCATACAATCAGTAATCCAAAAAAATACACACTGCAACAAGGTCTCATTTTACAGTGTTCTACAGCAGAAACTTAATGATTGCCACCAACATGTGCTAAGAAGTGACAAAAGACACTCATGAACTATGTAGCTTGAGATGATGTGATAAAGGCTCTTAGAAAGCAGTTTCTGTAACGCCTGCTAATATTTACAGATTAAATTCCTTTGTCACAAAAATTCAAAGGAATTTTATAAAACACTCAAACATATACAAAGATGACCTTTAGGGGTACTTGTTCAAACAATTTTTAGGAGAGGCAACGAAAGCAAAAATAAACAAGTGGGAGTATATCAAGCCAAAAAGCTTCTGTACAGCAAAAGAAACCATCAACAAAATATAAGAAAATATCTGCAAATCATGTATCTGATAGGGACTTACTATCCAGAGTACATAAAGAACTCCTATAATTCAAAAGAAAAAGCATCCAATTAAAAAATGGGCAGAGGATCTGATTAGACATTTTCCCAAAGAACACATACAAATACCAATGGATACATAAAACAGTGCTCAGACATCACTAATCACCAGGGAAATGCAAATCAAAACCACAAAGAGACATCACACCTTTTAGACCGGCAATCAAAGACATTTCAAGTGTTGGCAAGGATGTGGAGAAAAGGAAACCCTGATACACTGCTGGTGGGATTGTACTGATAGATTAGTGCAGCCACTGTGGAAACCAATATGGAGGTTCCTCAAAGAATTAAAACTAGCACCAACGATGACCCAGCAATTCCACTTCTAGGCAAAGTATTCCCTCTTATCCTTAGTTGCATTTTCTGTGGTTTCAGTTACTCACAATCAACCTCAGTCTGAAAAATATTACATGGAAAATTCCAAAAATGTAAGTTTCGAATTGCACACGGGTCTGAGTAGATTATGAAATCTTGCAGCACCCCGCCCCATTCTATAAATCATCCATTTGTCCAGCATATCCATGCTGTAAATGCTACCCACTTGTTAGTCACTTAGTAGCGCCATCCTGGTTATCAGACCGACTGCTGAGTTACGGCAGTGCTTATATTCAAGTCACCTACTAATGGCCACAAAGAGCAGGAGTAGTGATGCTGGCAATTTGGATGTGCCAAAGAGAAGCCATAAAGTATTGTATACATATGAAAAAAATAGCAAACTGAGGGTTTGATACTATCTGCAGTTTCAGGCATCCACTGTGGGTCTTGGAATCTATCTCCCATGGAGAAGGGGGGACTACTGTATTTGTCTAAATGAAATGAAATCACTATCTCAAAAAGATACCTGCAACCCCAACCTAAGTATCTACTGACAGATGAATGAATAAAGAAAATGTGATACATATACACAAGGGAATGTTATTCAACTATACAAAAGAAGGAAATCCTGCCATTTGTGACAACATGGATGGCCCCTGAGGGCATTATGCTAAGTGAAATAAGGCAGAGAGACAAAGACAAATACTGCATGATTTCACTTACATGTGGAATCTAAAAAACCTCAAACTCAGACACAGAGGTGGGGGTGGGAAGGAATGAAAAAAAAGGGTGGAGGTGAGGGGAAACAAGAATATTCGGTTATTACACATCAGTGTAAGGAAACATCTGCTGTGGGACAATCTCAGAGATCAGGTGAGTGTCCCACAGATGCCAGTGCACAGAGACAGACCAAAACCATAGTGGTTACCTATGGGTAAGAGGGGATTTGCATGTTTTGCTCAATACATCTGTACACTGTTTTGAGTCTCTTTTACAATCAAAATGTGTTAGGTAATTAAAATAATATAAAGAAACACAAAAAAACCCCACATGTATTTGTTCTTTCTCACTTATGCACTGAGGAATTCATTCACCAAAGCCCAGTTTCTGGGCCTTTCAAGGACAATGAGCTGTGCCCAGATACAAGTTACTCCTGAACAGATACAAGTCTCTTCCCTGAACTCTGACCAGACTCAACATCTCTACTTGGATGTCTCTTAGGCATCTCAAACCAAGTGTGGCCAGAGCCAAATTATACTCCCCACATCCTCCTCACCCCAATACGCTGCTCCCAGTCTTCCCCACCTCTGTAAGTGGCAACCAAAGGCTAGATAGAAACCATGAGGCCAACTCTATTCGCCCTTTGCATGCCTCAAAACAGACTACGAACAAACTCTATCAGCTCTACCCTCAGAACACACCTAGACCCTTCCCACACTCCTGTTTCAAATTGTCATCTCTTCCTTCTGGACTCTCCCAGCTGGCGCCTTACTGTTCTCATCGATTCCATCCCTACCACCTGCACTTATTCACAGCAAGGCAGCAGATCCCACCCTCCTCCCCTGGTCCCACCTCACTCAAGTCAAAGCCAGAGCCTAAATAGCCCCAAGGGTCCACCTCCATAGCAAGAGTGGCAGCTGGCAGCAAGACAACACTTGCTCCTGCCTGTCCTGTTTGCTGAGTGCTGCATCCACAGGAATCGGTGTGTGGCAGGTTCCTCTCCCTTTTCTACTCTTTAGCTCTTGAGGGGCGGAAGGGTGTCTATACCTTCCCAGACAAGAATTAGGTCATCAGAGCTCTTGTGCAACTAGAGATGGCCCACACAGGTCTTTCTGGGCCAGCCAAGACCTCACTGGACTGAACATGCTGCTAGTTTGCTTATTTTAACGATAACTTAAGATACTTAGCAAACCTCAACTGTTACCAACAACACTGAAACGAAAGGAGTAGGGGTTTCCTTAGGCACATAGGCTGTCGTAGACTCACCTCCTGCTGAGCCGCTCCTCCCGCTCCCTCTCTTCTCTCCTCCTCAAGCGATCCTGATTTCTCTTCTCCTGCTTTTCAGCCACAGTTTTCTAAATAAATGAAAAATTGGCAAATGAGAGAACAGCAAGTTACACAAACTAGAGTGTGAATATTGTTTAACAAAGCATGTTTATATGATCTCAGTATTGGTCATTTAAAATTTAAGAGAATCTCTTTAAAAAATAACATGATCATTTAAAAAACTTATACAATGAAAAATGAAAACACTGAAAAATGCTTTATCATTATATTTTATACAGTGACAAAAAACTACACATTCTATAGGGTGCAGTACTTCTAAGTCACAGGGAACTTATCATATTGCTTCAAAAATCCTGCCAGAAAGTTAGTTTTTTGTCCAAATGAGACTCCACCAACTTTATGGTAAAAGAAAACACAGGTGTGTGACCAAACATCTTGCTGTGGGCAGCCAAGCCTCTACTGCCACAGAGCAGCCTGTCGTCAGGTGCTGAGTGCTACAGTGGCTTTAGACCTGGTCTCAAAGGACAGCAGGCCAGGAGAAGTAGACCATGAACCTCCACAACTGGCTTTTAACAACAAGCTTAACACATGGCTCATGTGTTAAGAAATGCAACAGAAAATGCAACAGGCAGGAGTAGGCCATAGGAAATTGCACCACTGGAACACAATCAACACAGCTTAGCACAAAGTACTATGTCCAATCTGCATACCCCCCATTATCCAACACCTTTCAAAGCCTTTCAATGGCCTGATCTCTCTGACTAGTGAAATGATGTCATGAAGGGAAGTCAGAGCCAGTGGGACAAGAGGTCACCAGTCTTCCTGTACTCATGAAGGTATGAAGGACGACCTTGTATCTCAGCGTTGACTGGAGCCTGGCCATGTCCCCAGGAAGAGAGGGCACTGCAAAGTCTGGGAGGAAGGCTACCTCTCCTTCCTAAAGCACTTTCCAGGTATGAGAACCTTCCTGTCTGTCACCTCCAGCTCTACAACTGGGACGCCAATCACCTTGCGCCTGAAGCAGGCACACACAATAGACAAGTTAAGGTTAGTGATCAAAGTCTCAGCACCTCTGCTTCCATGCATACTCTTCCTAAGTGGATCTAACTGCAAACAGACCTGTGGTCTGGCATCTGGCATCATTTCCTTTCCAAACCCTTCCTACTCCTTAAAAAACTATCACTGCCCAGTCTTGGCAAAGAAAGCTTTACTTTTTTAAAAGATTTTTATTTTAAATTAAGAGAGAGGGGATGGCAGGGAGAAAGAGAAAAACATTAATGTGAGAGAGGAAACCTGGTCAGCAACCCAGGCCTGTGCCCTGACTGGGAATGGAACCAGCAACCCCTCAGTTCACAGGCTGGTGCTCAATCCACTGAGCCACACCAGTCAGGGCAGCCTTACTCTTCTTATACCCCTGCATTTACTTTGGTCTGTGGCCTTGACGTACAAACACCTCTGGGACTACTGTAAATGAAGCCATTTCTGATTAGGGCACAGAACTCCTACCTTATCTTTTAGAGGTGTCCTTCCAAATACACTGCCTTTTTTAAAAAAAATAATATTTACTGATTTTAGAGAGAGAGGGAGAGAAAAACATCGATCTGTTGTTCCACTTATTAATGCATTTACTGGTTGATCCTTTTATGTGCCCTGACTAAAGGTTGAACCTACAACCATGGCGTACCTGGACAATGCTCTAACTAAATAAACTACCTGGTCAGGGCCCAAATACATTTTCTGTTGTTAGTTTAAAAGCTACTTATCAAGTCTGTAATATATTTGTGTTAATTCTGATCAATTCATAACTGTAAAGATAAAACCTGCTTTCTAGATCAGGTTAGTAATTAAGTCTTAAGGTTTCAGAGGAAAATATTTTAATATATCCACATTTCTGATGAAGAGATACATGTTTAAGAAATAAAAGGCTTGCCCTGACTGATGTGGCTCAGTGGACTGGGCATCATCCCACAAACCAGAAGGCTGTCAGTTAGATTCCTGGACAGAGCACATGCGTGCATTGCTGGCCAGGTCCCTGGTTGGGGGCATGCAAGAGATAACCAAGCGATGTTTCCCTCATACTTTATAGTTTCTATCCCTCTCTTTCTCTCTTCCCTTCTCCCCTCTCTAAAAGTAAGTACATAAAATATTTAAAAAATTTAAAAAATAAAGTAAAAAGCTTTCAGGACAAAATTATGGAGTGATATGGCATGGAAATAAATTTTATAGGTGAAATGGGAATGTAACATTTCCAAATGCTAAGAAGCAGATTTTTTTAATGGAGGTGATATCAGACACTAAATTGCTATTTGTGCTTTACTGGCTAAAGTATTTTTACATCTTTGATACCAATAAACTCATCAAGAAAAAATTCTGACTTAAAAATGTGTAACAAAGTGTCCTGCCTGGGGTGGCTCAGTGGATTGAGTGATGGCCTGCAAACCAAAGAGTTGCCAGTTTGATTCCCAGTCAGGGCACATGTCTGGGTTGCAAGCCAGGTCCCCCCGTATACGGGGCGCACAAGAGGCAACCACACATTGATATTTCTTTCCCTTTCTTTCTCTCTCCCTTCCCCTCTAAAAATATAAAACATCTTTTTTAAAAAAGTGTAACAAAGTAAATCATTTTTCAACATTTTACTGGGAGCACAGGAGTAAAATGTGTCAAGACCAATGGCTGAGAATATCCTTACTGCCACCTCAAGCCACCTCAGCTCCCTCATCCAGTGCCGAGACCACACATCACCTCCTGGGAACCCCTTCTTGAATGCAGAGCCCTGCCACCCACTGCTACTTCCTGAGAGGCACCCAAAGGCCTCACTCTTGACTATCATAGTGTCCTATCATAGGTGCCATGTGTCTGTCCTTCCACCAGATTCCAGGTATCTGGAGGGAAGGGCTGCCTATTTCCTCACATCCCATCTTCAGCACACAGTACACAACAGGAAATACTCTTGTCAGTTTGGAGAACGACAGTTCTAGTATCTAAAACATGTTCAACCTTCCTTTTATACCTAACATGTCATATGTTTTACAGTCTAACCCAGGAAAACAATCACCTTCTCATCTTAAGTCGGCTCAAAGCAAGGGCCGGGGTGTGTCACCCGCCATTTAGCCTAACCATTCTCCATGCATTGCCTCAGTCCAAAGAGAAAAACTAGAAACTGTTGGTTCTTTCCTACCTCCTAACAAAAGTTATTTTGGAGATGTGCAAGAGATGTTTGTATCCTGTACTGGACTACACCATTACCTTCATAAAAAGGGAGTGAAGACTAAATAAATACCCAAGGCCCCTTAAGTTTTCTTGTTGTGAATGAAGTGATGAGTTGAGCATTTCACTATAAAACTCAAGGTATGTTCTTAGAGGGGATCGAAGCAAAGTTTTCTGGAGGGAAATAAATGTGAAGCTCACGAGATTTCTCAGGTTTTTCCAGAAACACAGTACATTAACATACCCTCAACTGATCAAGCTTCTCGCGGATCTGAATGAACCCCAAGTGCAATTTGCCCCCAAAGTGGTCAGCAAGACGACGGTCATTGTCATGGAGACCAAGGTAGGCTGAGCAGACTTCACAGACACGCAACTTCTGCTGTTGAAAACTGGATGCAGGCATGGAATTTCTGTATTCTTCCTGGAGAAAGAAAATAGAGTGATAAAAGTGCCACCAAATATTCAACTCCAAAATGGAAATATTTGAAGGAACTATTGAAGTGACTTACAAATAAAAATTGGATCATTTTCAAAGCTTCAGATACTGATAACCAATACATCATTTACTTAAATGAACCAACAGCCCTGTCTGGGTTCAGCTGGTTAGAATGTTGCCCTACTATGCCAAGGGTGTGGGTTTGATCTGTGTTCAGGGCACATGTAAGAATCAACCAATGAATACACAAATAAGTGAAACAACAAATGATGTTTCACTCACACACTCTTTCTCAAAATCGATCTTAAAAAAATAAAAGAAAGAAATGAACCAATAGCCAATTCCAAAGCAACGAGGAAAATTCAAAACAGTGAAACAAGCAGGATGCTGTCTGTTCTCAGACTGGAGTGAAGGCCAGGTCTCTGCTAGGCACTGTAGGGAGCTCTGTAAGGACCAGAGGGGTAAGAAAGGAGAATCTTCAACAGGGGCCTTCAAAAAACCAAACCAAATAAACAAGCAAAAAACTATCTACAGAATTTGTGTTCCAATGTCTAGGAAACTATATCCCAGTGCAGCCTCAAAAGATAAAATTTGGCCCTTCCTGGTGTGGCTCAGTGGACTGAGTGCCAGCCTGAGATAAAAAGGGTCGCTGGTTCGATTCCCAGTCAGGGAACATGCCTGGGTTGCAGGCCAGGTCCCCAGTAGGGGGTGAGCAAGAGGCAACCACACACTGATGTTTCTCTCCCTCTCTTTCTCCTTCCCTTTCCCTCTCTCTAAAAATAAGTAAATAAAATTTTTTAAAAAAAGATAAAATTTGGAAGGACAAATACATTAGACACTCTTCACAGAAGAAAGTGTGTACAACAAAACGAAACACACTCATTTTTGCAGCCACTACAATCTGAGTTCAATCACAACTCAAAAATACATGAGACATGAGAGAAAATACACCATGAAAAATACATGAGACATGAGAGAAAATACACCATGACATGGTAACTGCTGCTTTTGCCCAAGTTAAAATGCACTTTCAAAATCCAGGTTTAAGATATGCATTCCAACAGTCATTTACCCTTATTTAAAGGGACACCTAAATTTAAATAATCTTCTCTTAACTCACACATTCAAAACATTTCCTAGGAAATGTTAATTAAAATAAGATACCGTATCACTCACTAAACTGGCAAAGATACAGAAAAACAGGCACTCCCATACACTGCTGGTAGGAGGAGCCTGAATTGATACAACTACTGTGGAGTGCACTTTAGTAATCTGTCTGTTAAAGTGGGATACGTTACGTGCCATTACTAAAAACTCCTTCCATGCCTATGCTCTAGAACATTCTCACATGAACTAGCAGACAAGTGCAAGGACTCTCATTGTACAACTGTTTACAGATGAGAAACCCCCGCCCTGACCAGTGTCACTGAGTTAGCTGGGTGTTGTCCTGCAAAGCAAAAGGTTGCTGGTTTGATGCTCAGTCATGGCACATGCCTAGGCTGTAGACTCAGTCCCTGATTCGGGCACGAGAGGCAACAAATCGATGTTTCTCTCCCTTTCTCCATCCCTTCCTCTCTCTCTCTCTCTAAAAAACAGATAACTAAAAATAAATTTTTTTTTTTGGAAAAAAAAGGTGAGAAACCTCCAATAACCTACAAAACTGCCAATGGACAGGCAAGTTCATTCATAAAATGGAATGCTACAGAAATAACCTAAATGAACAAATCTAAAGGCAGCAACATGGAGAGATCTCACACACAAGGTGGAACTAATAATCTAAGTGGAAGAATGACACAGGCAGAATTTAAGTAGGGTATTTTTTTAAATCCTCACCCAGTATGTTTATTGCTTTTAGAGCGAGAGGATGGGAAAGGAACATCGATGGATTGTCTTTCCATATGCACCCCGACTGAGAATTGAACATGCAACCTTTTGGTGTATGAGGTGAAGTTCCAACCAACTGAGCCACCTGGCCGGGGCTATGTAGGATTTTTTTAATGCACACAACACCCCCACCCCAACATACACATACATACACACACACACACACACACACACATGCACACATGTGCAGTGTTTATGGGTAAACATGTGAAATAATACCAATGCCTGACTCTGGAGAGGGAAAAAATTGTGACTAGAGAGAGGAAACACTGAGCACTTGAATTTCCATTGCAATGTGCTACATCTTTTATTAAAAGAAAAAAGAAAAACCTTCAGCAAAAATTATAAATATGGTGGCTACACAAATATCTGTGATATTATTCTTTTCCTTTCTGTAGTTTCGAAACTTTGAATGCTATATATATATTAGAGGGAATGCTTAGAATCCCTCTAATATCTCTCAAAATAAATTCTAATTATGCTGAGTGAAAAGCCGATCCCAAAACAGTCACATACTGTATGATTCTATTTATATAACATTCTTGAAATGACCAAATAAAGGTATAAGGGACAGATTAGTGGTTGCTAGATGCCAGAGACATAGGTGTGGCTATAAAGGGCAATAGGAGAGATCTGTGGTAATGGATGTTCTGTATCTTGACTGTATCAATGTCAACATCTTTTCTGTGATGTTGTACTATAGTCTTACAGCATCGGGGGAAAGTGGGTAAAGTATCTCTCTGTTCTATTTCTTAAGCCCGCTACTAGGAGCAGAAAGGACCCCACAGGTGACACACCACCAGAGAGACTGGCACTGCTGAGGCCTCCCACATGCCATCCTCTCTTGCCTGGTTGTCTTATGTTATGCTGCCTCCTGGGAGCACTCATGGTAATGGGGACAGCAGCAGGGGCAAGAATCCTAGAAGTCCTGAGCGTGAACACCCCATGAGTCCCACATCCTGCTCCTGCCTTGGCTGTCTGCAGACGTCTATGTAGTGAACTCCACATCTACAATTCCTTTAGCCTATGTATCAATCTCGGAGTCATCCAAAGGGTTTTTGGTGTTTGCCTGGTTCTTTGAAGCAGAAATAGCTGGGTCTCAGGGTGTGGTAGGAGGCCACAAAGCATCTCTCCTGACTTAGGCCGTTCTGGTAGGGCGGTCAGCAACCCAGGGAGCCTGAACCTGTGCTACATATGAACACAAATTTCCCATTTAAGTAGAGAGGGATTTAGTTCTTATATAGGACTTATATAAAAAAGATTTAAATTGGATGTAAAATGCAGGTATGATGTTAAGTCATGCCACCATGGCAATGCCATTCAAGGTATGTGACTCACAAATATCACCTGCCAACTGTCACATGACCCCAATTTGCCTTTTAATGTGATCACATCTAAGCACTTACATACAAAAATATCAGATACATATTGTGAATTCTTTTGTCTCTCTTAAGTTCAAGGATGGATTACAGGACTTCTCATCCAACCACAGAGAATTACAACTAAACCTCAGAACAAACAACACCTAAAACTGTCAGAAAATCAAACTGTATGGAAGTCTGACAATCAAGGATTTAAAGAAGCCATATTCATGCACATGGGTAGGAGGGGCGGAGATGGGCAGATAGGCGAGGAGACTCGGTGTGGCACAGAGCTGGCTGCAGCAGAATGGACAGTCCTACATTCACATGTGGTAGATAAAAATCAGAAGGGATACCTTGGGAGCAAGTGATCCCAAGCCAGGCCCCAGAGCCCAGGGTTCCAGCGCCAGGAAGATAAATCCTCCTAACTTCTGGATGTAAAAACCAGTGGGGGTTGGGTCAGCAGAAGAAACTTCCAGATTTTCAGGAGTCTCAGCTTAAAGGGCCCACACAGTCTTAAAAGGCATGCAAACCCACCCACTCTGGGATTCAGTACTAGGGCGACAGCTGTAAGGGCGCCAATCGCATACAGAGAATGGATGAAGTGACTGAACATGGGATCAGCTCTGGTTTGCAAACCCCCAGAATCCAGTCAGTGATACTATCCCCTCTCTGAACCCTGCCCCCACACGCAGCCACAAAGCAGTGAAGTAGGTTGCCCACCCTGGCAAGTACCTAAGGCTCCACCCCACCCGATTTACAGGTGCTTTTTCTACAACAGGCCACAATACTAAGGCAGGGAGTCAAAGCAGCTCTACCTAATACACAGAAACAAAAACAAGGAGGCTGCCAAGTTGAGGAGACAAAGAAATATGGCCCAAATGAAAGAACTGAACAAAACTCCAGAAAAAGAACTAAACAAAATGGAGATATCCAACCTAACAGATGCAGAGTTCAAAACACTGGTTATAAGGATGCTCAGAGAACTCACTAAGTACAGCAACAACATAAAGAAACAAACAAAAGTTACACTAAGTGAAATAAAGAAAAATCTACAGGGAACCAACAGTGAAGGGGAGGAAGCCGGGATTCAAATCAATGACTTGGAACATAAGGAAGAAATAAACATCCAACCAGAACAGCAAGAAAAATGAGAATTCAAAAACAAAAAAAACGAGCCAGTATAAGAAGCCTCTGGAACATCTCCAAATGTACCAATCCCAATCATATGGATGTCAGAAGGAGAAGAGGAGGAGCAAGAAACTGAAAACTTATTTGAAAAAATAATGAAAGAAAACTTCCCTAATTTGGTGAAGGAAACAAGACATACAAATCCAGGAAGCACAGGAGGTCCCAAACAAGTTGGACATAAAAAGAACCACACCAAGACACATAATTAAAATGTCAAAGGTTAAAGCTAAAGAGAGAACCTTAAAAGCAGCAAGAGAAAAGCAATTAGTTATCTACAGGGGAGTTCCCATTAGACTATCAGCTGATTTCTCAAAAGAAACTTTTGCTGACTAGTAGAGATTGGCAAAAAAAATTCAAAGTCATGAAAAGCAGGGTCCTATAGCCAAAACTGCTTTAGCCAGCAAAGCTGTAATTTAGACTCAAAGGGCAGATAAAGAGTTTCACAGACAAGAAAAAAACTAAAGGAATTCATCATCACCAACTCTTTATTACATGAAATTTTAAAGGGACTTATTTAAAAGAAACAAGAACAAAACTATGAACATTTAAATGGCAATAGCCATGGCTGTTGTGGCTCAGTGGATTAAGCACTGGCCTGTAAACCAAAGTGTCGCCAGTTGAATTCCCAGTCAGGGTACATGCCTGGGTTGCCGGCCAAACCTCCAGATGGGGATACACAAGAGGCAACCACACATTTATGTTTCTCCTCCTCTAAAAATAATTTTTTTTAAATCTTAAAAAAATAAAATAAAAAAGGTAACAAATCCACAACTATCAACGACTGAATCTAAAAAAACAAAGTAAACAACCTGAACAGGAACAGAACCACAGATATGGAATCGTCTGGAGAGTTATCAGCTGGGAGGGGGAAGAGGAAGAATGGAGGAAAAGGCGCAGGGAATAAGAAGCAAAATTGGTAGGTACAAAATAGCCAGGGGGATGTTAAGAATAGCATAGGAAATGGCCTGGCCGGTATGGCTCAATGGATTGCACACTGGCCTACAAACCGAAAGGTTGTCTGGCTTGATTCCTGGGCAGGGCGTATGGCTGGATTACAGGCCAGGTCCCCAGTTGGGTGTGTGCAAGAGGCAACCAGTCAATGTTTCTCTCCCTCTCTTTCTCTGTCTATCCCCTCTATCTAGTAAGTAAAATCTTAAAAAAAAAAAAAAAAAAAAATAGTATAGGAAATGGAAAAACCAAAGAATTTATATGCACAACCCATGGACATGAACTAAGGGGGGAGGGCAAAATGCTGGAGGGAAGGGGCGTACTGGGCGAAGGGGGGCGATGAGGGAAAAATTGGGCCAACTGTAACAGCATAATCAATAAAATATGTATTTAAAAAAAAAGAATGGACTATAGTCCTAGCTGGTTTGGCTCAGTGGACTGAATGCCAGCCTGCAAACCAAAGGGTCGCCGGTTGGATTCCCAGTCAGGGTACATGCCTAGATTGTGAGTCAGGTCCCCAGTTGGGGGCATGAGAGAGGCAACCAAATGTTGCTCTTACATATCAATGTTTCTCTCCATAAAAAATAAGAAAAGAATGGATTATACCATCTACAAATATCACTTACGAAGGTGTTGGTCTGCCTGTCACATGAAGCATTATCTCAGCAACACCTTCCAACAAACATTGCTGCCCTCAATTCCAGCCTGTGCCAGAGCATCACAGAAAGTAGTCCTGGCAGCCCCATTGTGAATAACCTTACTTGCTCTGTCTCTTCAACTTTTCACTGCCTTCGCAGGCATTGCTCTAACACCCATGGGCCCTTGGCACTATCCTATTATGTATATACCCTGCTGAGCCAAGGGTACAGTGATAAAACCAGACCTGCACCAGGGCACCTACATGCCATCTCATCTCTACCTGACCCTCTTGCCCCACCACTTTGACCAACTTCTCAGTCTACGGATCTCAGCTAAGTGGCCTTCAGGATCACCTTACTTATCTAGAGATGCCCTGCAACTCAAAGTCACTGTCAAATTCAGACCCCATTTATTTTGAGCATCTATCTTCATTTGTTCACATCCCCTTCTGTCTGTGCCCTCATCCATCTTCATGAGGGGAGGGCCTCTTCTGGCTTACTCACAACTAGAAAAATGCCTGGCACTGACCTGGAGCTTGACAAGCATTTACTAAATGAACACACCTTATCTCCCTCCGGCTCCTACAACTCTCAAGCCATGTCAAGTTCTAGTGGTGAGGATTCAAGAACCACAGGGTACCCAACAAAAAAATAATCCAGGAAAAAAATGGCTGTCAACGATAGAAACAGAGAGCCCCTTTGACCTGTTCCACTACCACACTGTGAGTGTGTTCTGGCCTGGAATCCAGGCCAATACCACTTGGATACTACCCCAACCTGCACAGACTCTCTCTACCAAAGATGCAGCATCACTCAAAACACCCAGTAAAACTAATCTCTGGGACCTTTTGACAGGGTGTGCTCACTAACACGACTTCACTAGCTCAATACTAAGGACAGTACTCCACATATGGGAATTATGCTCAGAGCTGGCAAGTGATTCATCTTAGGCAGTGAAGCAAACCCAAGTGTGCACTGCGATCCTGTCAATATATCACCTTATTTTAACTCCTTCCTAATTCTCAAGAAACAGAGGCATGGTTTCATTTCAGCCCAGAGAGTTAACTCTCTGGAGTTACTCTGTTTTCCCTTTCTCTGAGACATTTTTCTCACTAACCTCAGCTTCTTTTTTCTTTGCACGGACTTTCTCCACTTCCATAAGAATTTTCTGGGATTCATCCACATTTCCTTCTGCTCCCAGCTGCTCAGCTTTTGCAAGAAGTTTTCCTATTTCTTCATTCAACTCATGTACTTTTTCTGCCTGAGGAAAGAGAAAATCAGGTAAGTAGCCATCTAAAATTGAAAGATTTTTAATACCATGAAAATGAATGTTTCTCTCCCTGCGCTATAAACAAACAGTATGTTCCACTGGTGGGGGGTTTTGGGGGGACACTCAAAAATCCTCAGTGGATCACATATATTGACAATTACATCTTTATTGCCAACACTGAGACTCTGGCCATAAACTAAACCTGTGCACTGCATCCCAATTAGTCGCATTTCTGTCATTTCCAATATGAGTATAAGGATCAACACGGTCATATTATAGACTGCCTCTTTTTATGTCTCCTACCACAATTCAATCTTTTGGGTAAGGATAATAAAATGTCTAGGTTTCAATACATAAACTTAAACTGTAAGCAGAATGCCAAATTATTTGTATTTACTTTCAGAAATAAAATAGCACTCTTGATGCAGTTAGCAACTACAACTGCTTTTACAAAAATGAAAGGAAAAAAACAATCAACAGACTCAGTTCCACTGAATAGAAAGAACAGAAGCATAATGCAGCTAACACTCAGGACAATTATATACAGATCTACCTTCATTCTGTGATATGGATTTACCAGTTCAATCACTTACCTACTTCCCCCCATTTCCTGTTATATGGGGGATGTTAAAAAAACAAACTTAAAAAAAAGTATATGTATCGTGAGGGAAGGGACAGAAGCAATACCTACTGGGGGCTGAAATCTCCCTGACAGCTTCCCTCTTTACTGGAAACACCCCAGGTGATGAGTACTACCCACCCCAAAGATGTACTATCAGTGCTGATGGTGAGCTGTGGGCCTGTCAGCAGCCAGCTCTGACCAGTGATTTGTACCAGTAACTCAAGGCGAAAGCCTCCCAGGTATACCTTTGCAGAAACTTCTGCACTGATCTCTTCTTGTGTCTCTGCCAGCCGCTTTTTGGCAAGCTCAGTTCTCCGATCACACTCAGCAATAAAGGACTCCAAGTGATCCATTGCCTAGCTCAGGAGAAGCAGAGAACAACAATCAATTACATGTACAATCTCAGGACCCAACTGTTTGACAGGAAAATACTCCTGGGTTGGTTTCTTAAAGCCTGTAGGTTCAATGGGAAGATCTTAAACTACACTCCAGCCAACACATCCATAATCACATTAAATCAAGGGGTTTTGTTAAAACAAATGATCACTCAGAAGTATGGTCTTCTCATCTATTTATTTCCAAAATGTGTAAAAGGACCCCCATCCCTCAATAACATTTCCAAGAAAACACTGAGGAAAATTACAACGCTTGGCCATAATGAATATAGTGTTCTCTGAGGGACAGAAAAGGCTGGCCCAAGACTGTTGTTAGAGCCCTCCTCTGGTGAGCTGTGGGAAATGCAGATGATGTACTCACTGGTCTTTGTGAGCCACGCAAATATTACCCCTCATGTTCTGAGGGTAGAGCTCCCCCTTCCACCTCAAAACAAAACAATAGAACAAATATTACTGAGAGCTGTGAATAAGTTTAGTTATTGCCTACTGTCTAAAGTAGCAGGAAAATTGGTATACTACTTACCCAAAGAGATAAAGGAAAAGGAACTCTAGAAATCTAATTGCTTATTCTTAAAGGAGTTAGTAGGAAACAATAAAACACTAAATAACAAGATGTCACATATGCTAAGCAGTTACTGTGCCATGCTAGTCAAAGGCCCCAACATAACTTCACATACATACAAAGAGCAAATCACTTGTCCAACTTTCAGGCTACAACCAGTGATTAAGCGGCACCTCCTAAGTTACATCCATAAAGCATCCTGCTAATGTTGGCATCATGTTAAGTATGAAAGCAAGTGAGTATAGCCATGGATGACAGGGTCAGACAGTATGATCTATCACTTTAAAAAAAAAAAAGGGCAAAAGAAAGTTTGGGGTAAAGATGAAAACAAGGATGATGACAGTTATGTCAGCAGACCAAGTGGTGGTAATCTATATCCCTCCCCACAAAGACAGCCAGGAAAGAGCAGATCAGCTGTTAAGAAAGTGTGTCACCAGGATCAGTCGACACGGGAATCGCCAGTAAGGAAGGATCTCTGGAGAGGGTTATGGTTCCTCCAGAAATCTTAAGTACTCTTTTCAAGTAAAAAGTAAATACAATTCTTGGAAGCAGGTCAAGACAGAGAAGAGGCTCTATGATGGTGCCAAGTCCCCTAGGCACATCATCATTCACCGAGGCCAACCCTCAGATTTCACATTAAATCAAGGTGCTCTTGATTTTGGAACTCAGGACCTCTTTCCTATTGTTGGCATCCAAATATTCTCTATCAGAATATCTCACTATGTTCAAATCAAACAATCAGGAAAGGAAATGACTGGCATTTGATTGCCTACACGCAGTGTTTCCTGGGAAAATGCAGAGTTCGGACTCGCCAGGATCAAAGTGCCAATGAGCTGGTATGGTTCACCTACCACCTTTGCTCACCTAGGGCAAAATCTTCTAAGAGAATGACATGAGGTACACCAGGTTCACTCCAGAGAGGCACTGAGACTTGGTGCAGAGCCGCTCTAATGTCTACATAAATGAGCCATCTCACATCTGAGAGAGACCCAGAGATCCACCCATCAGGGGTTAAGTGGGGAATAGACATCTGACAACCCCGCCAGTGTCTTTACCCATCAGAGAAACCACTTACTTGTACCTTAAGCAGAATTCAAAGTGGCTTGACAGGGTCAAGAATGAGAATGAGACATCAAAACGGGCACCTCCACAAAACAGGGCAAGTAGACGAGAAGATATCTTTTTAACTGCCAGGTCCTTTAAAAGATGGCCCTCTGTTCTATTGCCCCTCCCTCTCTTCAATGGGCTTCTCGATTTCAGAGTGTTTCCTAGTCAAAGAGCAGGTCTAATTTTTTTTCTTTTAAAGGTACTTGAGTCTAAAACTTACGTCCTAATCACAACCTACCACTTACTAGTCATCCAACTTCTCTAACTCAACGGTGATGAGGTGAAACAAAACTACTAAGGGTACTTGAGTACAGCACTTTGACACCTCAGGCACACAGTTCTCATTGCTGGCTGCAGAAGGCAGTCCTTTCATACACAGGATTGTCTGTGTTGTTCTGGACTCTGCCTGCCCAGCAGCAATGAAACTCGCCAGCAATCAGTAAGCCTGAGACCAAACCACATTGTCTGAATGGTCACAGCAAACATGTGCCCCTATGCAGTGCTGCCTGTTCCACACACGCCTCAAAATAGCTATGCAGGGACTCTTAAGGTCTCCATTTCCCAGATGAAGAAACAGATACAGTTTCCAAACTACTAAGTGATGGTATCAGGATGCAACAAGGACCCCTCCGGTTTGGCTACCTACACCCTAATCCTCACAACTCAGAGGGAGTTAGGACCAGCAGTTTCTAGATGAATAAAAACAGGTGAGCCCTGGCTAATATGACTCAGTGGGTTGCGCTCCAGCCCACAAACAAAAAGGTCTCCAGTTCAATTCCCAGTCAGGGCATATGCCTGGGTTGTGGGCCATGTCCCCACTTGGGGGCGTGCAAGAGGCAACCAAGTGATGTTTCTCTCACATATCAACGTTCTCTCTCTCATCATTGCTTCTCTCTCTCTCTCTCTTTCTCCCTCCCCCCTCCAATAAACTTAAAAAATTTTAAAAATAAAATAGAAAGAAGATAGATACTTTTCCCTCAGATATCCACAAAAATTCTAGTCAACTGAAAAAACTTAACAACTGGTCACCTTTGGCAGCAACCGGGTGGCTGAAAACAGAGGAAGAGACCTTTCACAACATACCTTTTATAGCTTTTCAATTTTAAACGATGTGAATGTTTTACATGTTTTTAAAATTAATGAGATGCTGCAACCCTAGTGAAATAATTTATCTAGGCAATAATCCTTACTGCGATTTAAAGCATTAGGCCAAAGGCTAATGGGGACCTTTACAATGAACAGTTCAAGCTGCCTGCAACAGCCAAGCCCACTGATCAAAGTACCACCCAAGGTGATACAACAGGAAATGTATAGCTCTGCCCTCGAAATATCCTGGCCAAAGAAGAACCGGTAAATCTGGTGATCAAGCTTTCAGATCTAATTCCTAGGTTACAGAGAATTTCAAAAACAAGGGAAAAGATGTTTAAAAAGATATCCTGAAGATACAATCAGCAAAATCCTAGGTATGACTTAAAAATTATCTTTAAATAGATTTAATAGATCTCTTATCTTTAAATAGATAATAATTAGAAATTATCTTTGAATAGATTTAAAGACTGACAAAGCATTCTAACACATGGCCCTTATTTTGGATCCTGAGTCAAACAAGTAACTTTAAAAACAAAACAAAACACACAACTCCTTTATTCAAATATCAACTTCGGATATTTGAATACTGCCTATGAAATGTTAAGTTACTTTTTAAACTATAATTATTTTAAATAAAGTTCTCATCTTCTAAATATACTATTTGCAGTATTTACAGATGAAATTATATGTCTATGAGCCAGTATAAAATAATCCGGGGGCCCTGCGTCGAGTGGCTCAGTGGACTGAGGGCCGGCCTGCGAACCAAAAGGTTGACGGTTTGATTACCAGTCAGGGCGCTGGCCTGGGTCACTGGCCAGGTCTCCAGTTGGAGGCGTGCAAGAGGCAACCTATCAATGTTTCCCTCCCTTTCTCCCTCCCTTCTCTAAAAATAAACAAATAAAATCTTAAAAATAAAATTCACTGGGGAAAGATAAAGATAAAACAAGAGTCTTCATGTTAATAACCACTGAAAACTGGGAGAAGAAACCTAGAATATTATTCTGTTCACTTCTGTATGTTTAAAATTTTTCCTTAATACATATTTTTAAAGCATGCTAAGTAGACTCTGTCACAAGCAAGTTTAATACCAGATCTTTGTATGCATGGCAATGCTGAAATATATTTTTTAAAGGTTTTATTTATTTATTTTTCAGAGAGTGGGGAGAGGAGGGAGAAAGAGAGGGAGAGAAACATCAATGTGGGGTTGCCTCTCACACACTCCCTGCTGGGGACCTGGCCCACAACCCAGCCATGTGCCTTGACTGGGAATCAAACATGCAACCCTTTGGTTCACAGGCTGGCACTCAGTCCACTGAGCCACACCAGCCTGGGTATAATGCTGAAATATTTACATGAAATACTGCAATGTGTAAGCTGTTTTGAGATTTGGGAGAGAGGTGGAGACACAAAGGTGAAACACAGCTGGTCATAAGCTGATCATTCCTAAAGCTGAGTGATAGATGCATGGAGATTCATTATACCATTACATATACTTTTGATGTTTGAGATTCTCTATAATAAAAAGTAAAAAACAAAAAACTGGTATATCAATTTTTCTTTTAAATAGAATATTCCATTTAACCACAGTTTTAAACTGTTGGAAGTTCTATGAGCATGACAACCCAACCTGTTTTTGTCAGCAGAGCTGGAGAATTCTCACCTAGAGTCAATCCCCTAACTGTGGCAGTGACATGGGCCTCCAGCAACTGCCCTGAAATAGTTTGGTAAAAAAGTGACCAACCAAGATCAGCTTGTGGCATTTAAGAAGTTGTTGCTTTTAAAAAACAATGGCTTCCTTGCCCTGTTGGTGTGGCTCAGTGGATTGAGTGCCAGCCTGTGAACCGAAAGGTCGCCAGTTCCATTCCTGGTCAGGGCACATGCCTGGGTTGCAGGCCATGTCCCCAATTAGGGGCGTGCAAGAGGCAACTGATTACACATTGATGTTACTCTCCCTTTCCTTCTCCCTCCCTTGCCCTGTCTGTAAAAATAAATAAAATCTTTAAAATATATTTTTTTAAAAAAGGCATTTGCTTCCTTGTATTTTAAAGCAATATGTAAGGGGTTTCCTCCAGGGAGCCCTAAGGGCACAGGGAGAAGGGCTTTGAATTCAGGTCTATAAATTTTGATTAAGTACACAGACACAAGTTTAGAGTTGAAATCTCCAGTATATACAATTTTGAATTTTTGTCTTGCTCATATCCCA